GCATCCTGGTCACCTCAAACTGGAGTTGGGGGGCTGTGCTGCTTCAGACTTCACCCCTGCACCTTGGCCCACCACCCCTTTAGGATCCCCAACCCAAAGCATCCTTCCCTCTTGGTTCCAGGTACTGATTGGCGTCACAGCCAGGTGACCCCAGCATGTGTCGCTGGGGCACCCTGGCAGAGAAAGGGCCTTTCTTGTGTCCCTGCTGACCCAATTCAGTAGAGAGGACGCGGGGTCTGCTGTTTTCTTTGGAGTCAAACAGGCCTGACGTTGGTGCAGATTGCCTCTTGAATTAAAGAGAAAGTCATCTGACCGACCACGTGTGGGCGCTGGAGCGGTCAGGACAAAGAGAAGGCCAGGGCTGCCGAGGCAGGAGGGGAGGACAAGGCTGGGAAAGGCCCACTGGCCAGTTCCGTTGCAGACCTCATCTCCTGGGGAAAGCGCATCTCCCTCCGAGAGAGAGGGGTGTCTCTCTCCGCCAGTGTCCTCTCCTCTGTGGTTGCAGTCTGACCACAGCGCAATGAGAGGGGAAGAGGGTGATTAGCCAAAGAGCACTTCTCAAGCTCTTAGACAAAAAGTGCCCACTGAGAAGTTCCATCAACAATTTCTGCCCTATTCATCCCACTGTCTTCACCTAAACCTTTGACTGCATACAATAGTTAGCAATGTCCCAACCTCCTAAGCCCCAGGTGACTTAGGGGAGACCATTGAAATCGAATAGTCCAGCTAACTAACCCCCATCCCCATCCCTTTTCCTCCGGAGCTTTGGAGCCTGGGTGCTATGAGGAATAGAGCGGAGTCCTACCTATTCCTTGAAGACAGAATCCTCGAGTCATTCAACAGGTGTGGGACTGCCACCCTACACCTCTGCCTGGGTTTCTTCCTACTCAGCGAAGTGCTGAGATCTTTACACAGCACAGGGGTCTCACTGCGTTCTCGCGGCATCTCCGGTCCTCTGTGTATCTGGTTCAGGCATCCCGCAGTGGCGCTAGTATTATACCAGGAGCGCAAGAAACACAGGGCTGCGCCGCCATCAGCATCATAGCTGCCTGCAGGATGGCTTCCGCACTCCCTCCTCCCCAAAAGCCCGTCCTGCTCCCCACTCCCCATTCCGAGTAGTTCTTGGGTACCAAGGCTATTCTTGGGCTAGATGGTGGGGGCCAAGTTCACGTCCTCCTGTTAGTTCTAACAGTGTTTGCGGGAAGAACTGAGTTTTTCTGATGCAGCTACTGCTTCCTATCCGGTCAACACACTGCTTCCAAGTCTGAACCCTGCCTCTGCCGGTGACCTGATGAGGGCGAGGGCAGTACAAGGAGGGTCTCCTAAGAGCTCCCGGCCTCAGCCAGCTGCCCACAAGCCATAAACCAATACAGCAAGACGCCAGAGCTGGGCTCTCTTCCTTCCCTCCACACTCGGTGCTGCACGGGCTGTCGGGGAGCCGCCCATCACCAGGAAGGCGAGACTGTCCGCTTCCAGCTTGGACCTGACTGTAAATACACTTAGAATTGCTGCCGTGAAATGGAAATGCCACATCCTGCTTTATAACCCTGACGTGTGTTGGGGAAAACCGGCTTTCCCCAACTCTTTCCAAGACATAAAGCCCAACCCCTTCATCAGCAAATCCCACACCCTATTAGTTCTTTCTAAGAGGAAATGGCTTCTACTTATTGTTTCTTTTTAGTGACTTCCTTTCTCCCCCAATTATGAATTCTAGGTGTAAAAAACTTTTGACAATGGCTTCTTGCTTATAAAAATATGTATTATATCTATATATTTTAATGCTACTTCTGAGAAATGACTGTCCCATTCCCCTCACCTCACTGGGGCCTTTCCCATGGTCCTGCACGGTTCTTTGTTGTTTTGCGTTTCTGACCATTGCAGGCCAGTGGGGAGAGGCCAGGGGACTCAACCGAAGGGCTGCTGTCTGATTCTTCCTCAGGAGCACCAGTGCGGCCCCAGCTCCCAGGCACAAATCTCCGAACACTTGTCCTCCAGCGAGGGTTGGCTCTCCAGGGATTTTCACACAGAAGCAGTTCAGGACCACTAATGCACCCCCCATTCCGATGGCAAGAATCTGAACAGTCTTTACAGCCACTTTCTCAATGTTCAGGGACAGTGAGAACATTACAGGCGCCTAAAAGCTGCTGCACAGTTGAGGGGACAGAGGATATCAGAGGACAAGATTAAAACACAAAACCTGCCCCAATGGACGACAAAGGAACTGGTCTTCCATTTTGCTGCTTGTCCCGTTCACAACAAAGGCTACCCAACTGTGAGCGTTCCTGTCATCCACCAGGGAAAGGGGGGAGAGCGCGCCCAGCCCTCCATCTGACTTGCACGGATCCCTGGGCAGGCAAGGGCTGGGGAAGCAGGCCGCTCGCCAAAGAGCCAGGAGGGGGACTGGGTCGGACCTGAAGGAAAAGTCTTTGCCAGCCTGATCCGCACTGCTAGTGCGGAAAGCATGGCCAGGTCTCAGCAAGGGGACTCAGCTGGGGTCATGTCACGATGTCCCTTCCCTGGGACTGTCGCATCTTGAAAATCAACTTTAGT